CCATCAAAGACAAGTTTCCGATTCCACACATCGAAGATTTATTGGATGAATTGCACTGGGCTGTCATTTTCTCTAAGCTGGACCTCAGGGCAGGGTACCATCAGATTCGAATGAGACCGGAGGATCAGTTCAAGACTGCTTTTCGCACCCATCAGGGACACTATGAATTCCGTGTCATGCCTTTTGGGTTAACGAACGCGCCTGCGACATTCCAAGCCTTGATGAACCAGGTTTTTGCCAGGTACTTGAGGAAGTTTATTTTGGTTTTCTTTGACGATATCCTCGTCTATAGTAAATCTGCTGAGGATCATTATCATCATCTTTCCACTGCTCTGAAATTGTTGCGTGAGCATAGCTTGTTCGCTAAGGAATCCAAGTGTTCCTTTGGACAGCCCACTGTTGAATATCTGGGGCATATAATTGATAAAGATGGGGTTTCTACGGATAGTGGTAAGGTGGCAGCTATGTCTGATTGGCCACGGCCAACTTCAGTTAAAGGATTGCGTGGATTCTTAGGCCTCACGGGGTATTACAGGAAATTTATCAAGCATTATGGGATCATTAGCAGGCCACTGACTTTGTTACTAACCAAGAATGGGTTCCAGTGGTCAGCAGCTGCCGAGGAAGCCTTTGTTGCCCTGAAAAAAGCGATGGTGACTGTCCTGGTTTTAGCTCTTCCAGATTTTGACTTACCCTTCACACTGGAGACTGACGCGTGTGGTACGGGTGTCGGAGCTGTTCTCTCACAGGGTGGCCGTCCTCATGTTTATTACAGCAAGGCTTTGGGAGTTCATAATCAAGGTTTAAGTACCTATGAGAAAGAGTATCTGGCAGTTTTGTTGGCAGTGGAGCATTGGCGACACTATCTTGAAGGGCGACAGCTCACTATACTAACTGACCACGAAAGTTTGAAATTTTTACTTGGTCAGAAGTTGCACATTGCCATCCAAAAGAAGGGCTTACTGAAGTTGATGGGGTTGGATTTTCAGATAAAGTACAGGCGTGGGAAGTATAATGGAGCGGCCGATGCCTTGTCACGCATTTTTTATGATGAGATGGAAACAGGGGAGTGTAGTGCGTTGTTGTCCGTGCTGCCGAAGTGGCTCGTCGAGATTGAGCACACTTATGTGAATGATAGGGAAATGGCTGACCTGATTGCAGCAGTTGCAGTTAACTCCCATGGGCCCTCATTGTGGTCTTTCTCTTCTGGGATTCTACGATATAAGGGGGCTATTGTGGTTGGTTCTACTGGGTTTATGCGGGGTAAATTGTTGCATCTTTTCCATTCATCACCAGTAGGGGGACAATCAGGTACGCAAGTTACTTACCAACGCTTGAAAAGTCATTTTTATTGGCCGGGAATGAAGTCTGCAGTACGGAAATGGGTGGCTGAATGTGAAGTTTGTCAGCGTTGTAAGGCAGAGACGGTTGCATCTCCAGGCTTATTGCAGCCCCTTCCCATTCCTACTCAAGCTTGGAGGGATATTAGTCTGGATTTTGTTGAAGGTTTGCCTCTTTCTCATGGTAAACAGGTATTGTTAGTGGTGGTTGATCGGTTTACCAAAATGGCGCATTTCTTTGGTGTGAAACATCCTTATACAGCAGCTGATATTGTTCAAGTTTTCTTCGATGGAGTTTTTAAGTATCATGGGATGCCATCTACAATAGTTTGTGACCGTGATGCGACTTTTACAAGCAGTTTCTGGACAGAATTCTTTTGCTTACAAAGGAAAGATTTACACTACTCTATGGCTTATCATCCACAAACGGATGGCCAAACAGAAAGAGTTAACAGATGCCTTGAAGACTACTTGCGTTGCATGACGTTCCACAGGCCTGCGGATTGGTTTTCTATGCTTACTCTTGCTGAGTGGTGTTATAACACTCACTATCACATCAGTATACACATGACACCCTTTGAAGCCCTCTATGGTTTTCCTCCTACATTCTTTGGCATTACTCCTGGTTGTACTACTTCTGTGGGAGCTGTGGAAGATAGGGTGACTCAGCAGCAACAATTGGTTCACTTCCTCGCTGATAATATCACTCGCGCTCAGAACCGACAGAAACAATATGCTGATCAGCGCCGTTCTGAACGAGTTTTCCAGCCTGCAGATTGGGTGTACCTCAAACTCCAGCCTTACCGTCAAGGGTCAGTCGTGGGTAGGCACGGAAATAAGCTTGGTGCTCGCTACTTTGGTCCCTATTAGGTTCTTGAGAAGGTGGGGAACGTGGCTTACAGATTGGCTCTTCCACAAGGATCTAAGGTTCATCCCGTGTTCCATGTCTCCCAGCTGAAGTTGTGTCGTTCTGTGGTACCTCCAGCTGCTTTACAGCTCCCTAATACAGATGCTCACGGTACGCTGAAGTTGGCTCCTTCTCATATTCTTGCTCGACGATTTGTGAACAAGGGCAATAGGGCTATTACTCAAGTCTTGGTGCAGTGGACTCATCAAACTCCGGACGAAGCTACCTGGGAGGATTTGGCTGCATTCACAAGGGAGTTTCCTTCTTTTCCTGCATAGCATCAACAGCTTGAGGGCAAGCTGTTTCTGATGGGGGAGGGTTTTGTAACAACCCGATCAGCTAGATGCCAGCTGTCATCTGTATAAAAAGGGGAGAGCTTACCTGTCATTGGCATTCTATTGACCAATCTATTATAAGTTAGATACTTTACCAATTTAGATAACTTTCAATAAAAGAACTTCTACCTTCTTCTCCATTCTCTCTGTTCATTCCGTTCCTAGCTCCAATTTGCCAGAATCCATTAGTTCGATCCTTACACCTGCCCTCCAAACTGAAATTAGACAGACGCGTGAGGAGTTGCAACAGAGTATGGATCAGATGGTCGGCTCGCTAAGAGTAGAGATGCAACGTGAATCGGCACGGGTCGGGGGCGCACTACGACAAGACCAAGAGGCTTACATGAAAAAAAATGGAAGCGCTCTCCTATGGATCTCTCTCGGAAGCAAACAAGACGAATCGTCAAATGCTCTCCTTTGGGCTCTGGCTCTCCCTCCATTCCGCTCGGCGACGTAAACTACAATAACTATCACATAAACCAAATGATGTAAACTACCGTACATCAATTTTGTTACATACATGTACACATTGATGATAATGCATCAATTTAACTACCACCAAAACCTAACGAACCCATTTTGAACGAAATTGGACTTCCTTATAAATTGCCTTGTCAAAATGTAAATCGGTATTACTTGTAGGGCTGTTAATCGGTCTCCGGTTTTTCGGTTACCACCGAAACTGAACCGAAACCGTCGGTTTACTGACCAACCGAAAACCGTCGGTTGAGTGCGGTTTGCGGTTGCGGTTGGATGTCACCGGCCAGTGGGCAATTGTAGCGGTTAGCGGTTAAAAACCGCAACCGTACAGATTAACCGCACAAACCGACGACCCAGACACATCGGATTCTCCTTCCCTGATCCCCTGACCTAAATGAACCCTAAAATCCTAAATCCCAAAATCGTGAGAGTCTCACCCGCCGCTCCTCCCATTTCTGAACCCTAGCCAGTAGCCCCAACCCTCACCGGCCGCCTCCAGTCACCTCGTCCCCGTCGAGCTCGTCGGCCGTCGCAGCGCCGTGACGCCGTCCTCACTCCTCTCGCAGTCGAGCTCATCCCCTCCTGTCGCGTCGCATCGTCCCCGTCGAGCTCGTCCCCGCCGCTCCCATCATCGCGTCGCACCGCCGCCCTCCCGCCTCTCCCAGTCGAGCTCGTCCCCTCCCGTCGCGTCGCATCGTCCCCGTCGAGCTCGTCCCCGCCGCTCCCAGCCTTCGTCGCATCGCCGCCCTCGCGTCGCCGCTGTCCTCCAACAGAAGTCGTCGTCGCCGAACTCCCGCCCAGAACTCCCTCCCAGAACTCGACTCCTGCCGTCTTCTGCCCCGGAACCCCGCCGTCTTCTGCCCTGTTCTCCCCGCCGTCTTCTGCCCTGTTCTATCACCGATTCACCATCACCAATGTAAGTTCCAACAGAACAAAAACATTAGTAGGGATTTGTGGATTATAGACCGGCAAAAGAGCTAGGAAAAGAGAGATCGAGAACAATAGTAGTTAGTACTCTATGCATGTAGTTAATTATTCTTTGTATTAATTAATTAGTAGCTGATGATGCGAAGAATGGAAAGCCTTCATTTTCACTCGAGCTTTGAATGTCTGGTTATATGGTCTTCAACTGGTTTGTGCTTCTCCTTTCATGTTCGTTGCCTGGGACGGAATGTTTCGGCTAACCGCCCGCTCAAACCGAGACCGACGATTTCGGTTGCCGGTTAACCGAGGATGGCGTCGGTGTCGGCTTCGGTTGAGGGAAACGGGTTGGTTTCGGTCTCGACTAACCGATGGTGCGGTTCGGTTAAACCGAAACCGCACCGACTAACAGCCCTATTTACTTGTATTTTGCTAATAAATAAAGCTTTCATAATTATAAACAATGAAGCAAAGGCTTAGCTAGCTGGCTGGAGCCTGGAAATATTATGACCAAAGCTTCATATTCTATACGATGAATAAATAATCCCACAGTAATCCCATCCAAATAATCATGATTTCTTCTGTCCAAAAAAGGAATGATGATGAGTTGATGACTTGTTGGGCTACCCTACCCTACAGACTCCCCTTTCTTTATGAACTGAAGCAAATTAGATCAATGATTGGAAGGCTATTGAATTAGCTAGCATAAATATAAATATAACTATGAATTTATGATTACTCTTTTAGACCTCACCCGACTGGACAAGTGACCGAATGCAAAAGCAGAATCCTCTACGTTTTATATATTATTTATGATTCCAATATTATTTCTATTTCCCACTACTACTCAAAATTCAGTATGCCAAAATGGGCCACACAATAAGAGCAAGTAACAGCTTATAATCATTAATCCAGGATTGTAATACCTTCATGGTTATACCGCAAAAGTAAGTGATAGAGCATTTTGCGTGAACCAGCAGTACGATTTCAGGCATTTTGCTTATAACTAGAGGAAGGTAGAAATTTGAAAAGACAAACACAGACAGTTGAACATGACACTTCTGGACCAGATGTACAAAGACAAATAGATACTCCGCGCCCAACTCAACTGTCTTTTATACGAGAAAATCCCCGAAAGATAACAAACGGAAGAACAACCCCGCCCCCACTGGAAAATGAAATGAAGCCCAAACTGGTCCTCACAAGTCACAAGTCACAAGGGAAGAGAACAAAATGGTCACCACGAAAGCACAAGAAACAAACAAACGAACACTCAGAAATAAGTTTGACTTGCTACATTAACGTCCAATATAAATAATAAACAGATTAGGGAAAAGGAAACCACTCTTTTTCTCTTTGTTTCCTGCAACTTCCATTCTTTGCTATGACTTGGTACCTTTTCGTTAAGGTTTGCTTTTACAGGAAGTCTGAAAAGGACTCCACACAAAGGACTCTCAAAACCCATTGCTCACGAACAACCCTAGATGTAGATCCAGTTCTGGCTGGTAACAAGTTCAAACAGCTAGACCAGTGTTCATCTCGTTGAGGATACGGAAGTAATCTTGGTACTCTGGAGTGTTTCTGAACCCGGCGATGAAGTCTGAAAAGAATCTCAGCACTGCAGCCAGATGTTGGGAATCCTTACTAGCCAGTGCCGCTTCAAGAAACAGTGAGGGACGGACACTTGTCACCTGGAAAAAAATGCAACAACAACCACATTCTCTGTGTTAGCAGCTGCATCCCAGAGCATTTTGATAGCCGGATGTTTTTGTTCTCGCACCGGTCATCAGAGCATAGGACACTAACGAAATCCAGATTTTGCAGGGACTTGGTTGGCAGCTTTGTCTATAGACTATTGTGTTCCATAACCAGAAATCCAAATTCCTCATTGAAAGAAGTATCCACCCTTACGAAAATTTTGTAAATGTAGAGGGTTCCTATTGATAGGGGCGACTAAACGCTTTGGTCAGCGTAACCAGAAAATTGAAACCGGATCGACTCCCAGTTTTAAGGTTATATTTGATTTCTAAAAATGCATGTGGAGGTTACTGAGAAAAACTGCTACATAAAAGAAAGTTCTGCATAGTACGATTGAAGGTTACTACCTGTGTCACACAGCCCTTAGTTTTACTATACGGAATACTTATAGTAGTTTCACTCCTTGATTAAGATTCTAAAGATTACCTTATGCTTCCTTGCGTAACGCAAAGCTTCAAGATAACAACCATCTTGCACAAGCAAAGTCACATAATCGTGATGCAAAGAGAGCTGTCGCAACATGTCGAGAGCCAGCTTCCTCATTTGAGGATTCTGATGACCTGATTCCAAGAGCTGCATTGCCACTTCCTTTGAGGGTTCAAGAACCTGAAAACAAATCATCTTGGACACCCTGTTAATGACCAAGACCTTTCAAGACCTCACAAAGGCACAGCTCAGGTAATTCTTACCTTGTTTATGATCAATAGGGACAGCTCTGCAAACCTTTCATAGCGTACTAGAAGCTGTATAGTGAACACATATATGTTTGGACGAACCTTAATCTTCTCTGAATTCGTGCTGTGACAATGGAAGAAATATGAACTGTCAACTCTTAAGAACAATACAGCTCACACAAGGCAGTTCAACTGGCTTCCATTATACCAGATGGTCTAGCTCATACCTTCGAAGGAACTCGACTATTATGGCAACCAAGTATGAGGGATCTCCCACGATCTCTTCTCCAACAGGAACAAACACACAACTATACATCTCATCAGGTGAAATTGCCGGTGAAGTAAGCTGAGAATCCTGCCTCTCGGAATTGTTAGCATTTAATTGATTATTACCCAATCCAAGTTGCTGAGTGTGTAAAGATGATGACTGGACTTCACCCCTAGAGCTTTCAGCACCTAGTAAGTTCTCCTTCCCTGATTTCTGAAGATCTCTGGAGTCTATTTCCCGTGATTGATCATCTGAATCTGAAGCTGAAAGATTAAAGGATTTGTCTCCGACACCAACCCTAGACTCATCTTTCGCCGATCTACTTGAGTTACTGGCATTTGTCCCAACAGAAGCTGAGGCTTCATCCACTTTTGTTTCTTTGAGATTGCTACATGTTTTTACCGAATGGGAGTAAGATGAGACTAACACGTCTATTGCTTTTGCAACCATGGTTACTGGCCTCCTTTCCAAGATAAAGGCACGTGTTATTGCCAAACACAACTGTTTAGTCTGAAACAACAATAGCGAAGCTTGTCAAAATAACTCAAGTTCATGAAGGATTTTCATTATGAAGTCCTTCATGCATCAGGTTTTCAAAGTAAACAGAATAATGATATCAGTAGCCATTTCGCAAGCTTTTAAAAATAACACAAGGTCATGAATTGTGTACCTTGCTTGCTTCCAGCTTCCTTCTCTGCAAGAATTCTAGATTTGATGGAACTTCAGAGCTGCTTGAGGAGATAACCTGCATGACAAATGAACTAAAACATTTACTTTCAAACCCACTTTTTATGCTGAAAAAGGATATGCAATATTAAACAGGGAAACCATACCTCTAAGTCCAGATGAATCTTCCATACTGACTTGCTAGCAACATCACATATAAGGTCGGGGACCAGAAAGGTCCAGTCGTCTCCATAAAACATCAATTCGTGATTACTTGAGTTTCGATCTAAACTTTCACCCACATTAACTGGCCGGCCAGTATGGGATTGAGGTAAACCTCTAAGCAGCAGAGGAAGAGGGGCAGATATAGGGGCTCGAGAATCTTCAAATATGTCATACAGTATACTAACTCTTGCATCTACTTGATGAACGAGTAGGACATTGTCAACCACACTAACAGAGATCTTGCTTGAGAACATTGGCAGGGAACCCTGCAAAAGTCATAACGACATTAACAGATGCTTTCAGTCATAAATAATTTTGTAGTATGTTCAAAATGGCAGCAGGAATTGCATTGGAGAAAATAAAAAGGTACACAACCTAGATCTGTTTCATAAAAAAATAAATTGATGTGTGCTACTCAAGTGTCCGGGTTCGTTGAAAACTCATGTACGGGATTATTAATCTACAGAAGAAGAAAAAAAAAGTAATGTAATAGATTATGTTCACCATTAATCCAGGAGGTATATTTCTAATTACTAAAAGATAAAAATGAAGAAGAATGATTCTTCAAACATGATTTATACATGTCTCCCTTGGCTGTGGGGCCATACATATCTACTCTGTATTGCTCAGGGTTCAAGAAGGCACGCCTAGGCGCACGCCTAGGCTCAATTAGGCGCTAGGCGGTGGAGGATTGCCTTGACTTGGCCATAGGCGTTGTAAAAGGCGCTGGTAGCGCTTAGTAGGTAGGAATAGCGCTTAGTTTGCGCCTAGTGGAGAGAAGGCGTGCCTGGGCGTTCCTGGGCGAGCTTAGGCGGTTAAACCCAATACTCTTTGTTTTGTCCTAGAAAATTAGAAAATTGCCTCTTGCCCTAGAAAATTAGAAACACGGGAAGGGGATGACCATGCTATGTATGTATTCGTAGATGAAGATGAGGAATCCTATTGTGAACCCTCGAGTACTGTTACAGATGCAATGGCGGGTGAACAGAGTGAGCTTCGCAGGAGTACACGAGTGAGAGAACTCCATGATGAAGAATTAGAGTCTGAAGAGGAGGAAGAGGAGGAGGATGGTGAGGAGATTGCTTTTGAGGATGATGAAGATGAAGTGGTGGCTGGACGGACCTACTTGGATGATGAAGAATGAACATTTTCCTATGAACTTATTGACTATTGTTTAGTATTTCGACATTTTATGAACTTGTGATTCTAGGAAGTGGTCACTATTTGCTTGTTATTAGTTATGTTAAGTGTTTACTGTTAAGAACTAGGCATTGCTAATTTTATATGCACTTGGATTATATGAATTATTCCAGAAAACAGGAAATATTTGAGAACTTTTTCCATTTATGCTCTGAACACCTAGGCGCGCCTAGGCTACGCCTAATCAGGCAAAGCGCAAGTCAGGAGCCGAGCGCCTGCCTTACGCGTAGCGCCTTTTAGAACCTTGGTACTACTATTGCTAAATTCTGAACCTATAATAGATTGTGGTAAAACAGCTGTTCTTCCTAGATTGCTCTCCAAATAATCATAATGTTTACAGTTAAGATCAGTTATACCTTAAGGTACCAAAGATTACAGCCCATTTACAATAGCGTATATAGGCAATTAACTGATTCCAGAATAGAAGTCCGAAAATGGCAAGAGGTGCGAGAAGCTGCAATTACCTGTTGAACGACAGCATCACGATAAAACCTATACGAGTGGAGCTGCATTGCAACTCTGTCAATTTGCAAGCAATATATCCTTCCATAGCTGATAATTTAGAAGAAAAAAATATTAATAGTGAGCAGAGCTGAAAGACTTAAATTACTCGGTAGAAGAGTGAGTGGGGGGGGGGGAAAAGTTAACATACACGGTAATGATAAAAACATCTTCAGCAGCTAGGACAGGCTTACTGTTAGCATCAGATTTAGCCATTACCATCTCAAACCTTGGCAAACGTACGATTCCCACTGATGAAAGCTGAAATAGCCGAGATTACAGGTTATTTAAAATAAGCCGTTATTACTGAAGTGCTCTTCCTAAAACAGATTAGGAATAATAACCTCATGTTGTTGCATCAGTCAATCATGCACAAAATAAAGTTGGTTTGAAGAAAGCCCAAAACGCTTCAACTGATATCAGAATTAACCATAATGAATAATGAAAACAATGGCTAGAGTTTCAGAAACAGTGCAGTACAGTATCAACTGTTAGCTTTTTCTCGTCTACCTGGAATCCGGTAAGGGTCTTGCATTGCATTCCTGAAGCAAGAAGAACCAATCGACTGCCATGTGTATAAACATACCAGTTCACACTCAACTTCTTTGTCTCTACCAAGTTAACTGATTTCGAAGTAAAGCTGACAGTAAGCAAATCCAGACCACTGCAGGCAAAACTTCATTTTAGTGGAACTTAAGGTGGGGAAATGTAGTGTGAGAGAAAGAAAGCTGAAAAGGAAAAAAATAAAGGGAGAAAAGGGAGAAGCAGCAGATAAATTATTTATACTGAGAAACAAAAACAATACACCATATTTGCATGGAGGACCATTCATAACAATAGAATTCCCAGTACAATTACACATCTGAAAATACCCAAATGCTCTACCAAATAACTTTTCCAAAGTAACCGTAACAACAATACCCCATATTTGCAAGGAGGAATGTCATAATAAAGAAAATTTGAGTACCATTATCATCTGAAAGTACCTGAAAGACCACACCCTTTCCACAATAGAAGAATATAATAACAACAAATTGCAAAGACACCTATATCGTTTACCACTGGAGCAAGAGCTTAGGGAAAGATGTTATACTAGCCAATTCTGTATGTTATGATTTGGAAAACACAAAACCACGTAAAAACTAGTAAAAGCGAAATCCTCTGTCGATGGAGGGTTTAACCAGATGTATATTATGCTTCATACAATAAAATGAGGGAAATATATCTATATTCAAGTCCTATTTCAACATTTGTTTTGAAGTTTCAGATACAATCAAAACATGATTAATTGAGACTTCACCTCTGGCATTCAAAGAAAACAAGATACTGAAAGTGGACTCATACCTGGTTTTGACAACCACCAAATCACAAACTGGGCAATCTGTCCAAAAAAATCCTAGTATGCTCTCTGATTCCGACTTGCACATGTGAGTAAATGTTTCTCGTGTTTCCCTTTGAAAGAACTGTATTTCCTGATTAGACCGATGGACTGCTATGGACTTTGCATCCAAAGAATATCGGATAGATAAGACGGGGCCTTCATTTATGTAGTCGGCAGTAGCAGCAACATGAGGAGAAAAGGGAACAGTTTTCCATGAAAAAACCTAAAACAGATGAAGCATCAGGAGCCATGTGAAAGGGGCATGGGAACTGGAAAGAACCAAGGTCAACCTGAAACTAAAAAGAAACTAAGAACACACAGATAATGTTGAAACTGTATAAGACAGTGGAGGTGCCCACCTGATCAGAAGTCGGAGAGAGAAGCAATTTATTTGCATCATCATAATACAAACCCCTTGATCCTGGCAGATTACATTTTAAGGGAGGATACTGAACGTATGCATGGGACAGTCCACCAGAGCCACTTAACCCAACAGTAAGCTGTGAGCTAGATGCATTTGCTGACATGCTGAAATTTTTTATGTAACAGAAAACACTAGTAAGGCACTTTTATAAACTGACAATGAAGGATCTTCATACGGAGGTCATTAGCTCCAATATTCCTGTCAGAAAACCACATGAAATAAGGAAAACATACAAATCTGGAAGCTGAGGAAACACGCACAACTTACGCCAGAAATTTAAGTCATTTTAGCATTGGATTAAAACAAACCTTGAAGCATACTTCCACGAAACTCATACCTTTTGAATCATGCTACTATGGAGCATATCCCAAAAGTTCAGTACAAGAGCTCAAACTTTCCCTCGAAGCTGTCAAAAAATAATTAGATAATGATGTCAGCGGCTTAGGCAACCACTGTTGAGAAAATAAACCAGACCCAGTATAATACAATTATGTCATCTTCTTTCAGATAAAAAATAAATGTAACAATAAATTGTAATGATGGGGGAAAAAGCTACCACGTTCTGCATGCAATTCTTCAGGGCAAGAAATTCCTTCAGACACATATCCCGCTCAACTTCAGGAACCTTTTTGGCAACACAACCTCCATATTCTTTTGCCTGCAATATAAATCAATCAGAAAAAAGAATTGTAGCGACAAATAGCAAACGGAATACAGAAACTTAAGGTAAAGGGTTCCTGGGCATCATGCTTATTTCACATATATTACTATTCCCTCCCCCAGCCCCTTCCTACTTTCCTTAACCTTTGTCTTCTGTTTCCCGCTAAGTATTGCGGGAATCCATTAAGAAACCCAGATAGTGCATCTGTTCTTGATATTAATATGCATATACTCTTGTACAGAAAAAAGGTTCATCATTAAAATCCAACACCTAGTACGTAAAACATAAAGCAACTAATCATCCATGACATCATGCAATAGTACAATGACATTAAAGAAGTTCAGCAATCCAATGTTTCCAACAATTACTGGTTCTGGTAGCGTAACAAACCTGAGAAGAACAATTGACCAATATGCGTTTGAGGGTTGAAGTAGTGTTCCTTTCTTTCATTTCCACATCACTGTAGAGGAAAGTGAAGAAATAAGCCAATAGAGAAAACAAAACCTATATCTCACATTTTCCATTACCGCAACGAGTCAAGATGGTTGCTTGTTTCCACTTGAAGGGTAAACAACATGACAGCAAATACACACACTTTGACACCACAACAAGTGATGGCGAAGCTGCTTTCGCCACAAAGTGCAATGGACATATCGATTTCAAGCCACATTGGAACCAAATTCAGCCACAGTGCTACAAAAATCAACGAATACTTACAAACTACTCATAAAGCTTGACAACCCTAAATCGTGCGAAGACTATACATGCAAACAATCCACCAGATGCAGATCGTGAGAAACACCTTTCTTTCATCTTTACCAATCTGGAAGAACCCATACTTATACAAGCAAAATAAACTCAATCCGGACCACGTTTCTTCAGCTAACCAACAACAGCTGTCACTAAATCACTCCATAATCGGAACTGTTCCTAAATGAAGCACTCCAGCATCTAGCCAGGACAATTTCAAAGATGAATACTACACCAGCAACAAGTAACAGATGCCTACTCTACTCCGAATTTCGAATCGTCGTTATCAGAGGACAAAGAAGGAATCAGAAAAAGATACCACTGGAGACGAAGTGGAATTGACGGCGAGGCTGAACTTATCAGCCCTCCGGTTTTCTTCCCTAGTTGAACTACAGTTATTACCCCTGCTCCGATCAGTCTCTGCCAGTGGAAGATGGCGGATACAGCAAGGGAAAGCAACGGAGGCCGACGAACTCCGGGCGAGCTAAATTGAACGAGAAATTATTTCGTCTTTCGGTCCCGAGTCACTCACCGAGCGAAGGGGAGGTTCACAACTACCGAGTTTAATTAACGAACTCGCCCTGGCGGAATAAAATATTAAATTAGTCCCTGCATTATCTCAATTTAACAAATACGCTCATCTAATGTTAGTTTTGACAAACACAAATTTCTTGTGCTGTAAATATTTGTAAAGTGAGGTTAAATACAGGTCATTGAGGTGTATTTGAAAAATACTATTTGGTTTAGTGAATCCAAGTGTGGTCTTTGGTGTTCAATGATTTGTAGGATTGTGGATTGTCCTTGCTTAGGGAGAATCAAGTCTAAAGCATGGATAATTTGAGAACACTTGAAAAGTGATATTTTTCCTTCCCCATATTAGTCTAAATCAGTAAATTCATATTTATTTGATGGAATCTTAGTACGATAGAAATGTTAATTATCTGTCCAAATTGCGATTGTTAGTCCATAGGTGTGTATTTGTACTTTTCACGTCTTTCATGTCGTGCTAAACACCCTTGTAGGGGTGTACATTGGTCGGATGGTTCGGGTTTAGCTATTTTAATCACCCGACCCATGCACTACGGTTTGAAAAATATTAAACCCAAACTCATTCAAAAAAATTAAAAACCATATAGTTTGTTTCTAATTAGGTTGGGTCGGGTTGGCGATATTTTTAAGTAAAAACATAACCCAACACAAATTATGCAATTATTCTACACTATAAAAATATTTTCTAACTAATTAAAGTTTCAAACGAATAAACCAAGTTGAAAGGTATCAAAATACACAAATGTTGTTTGAATTTTAATAAAACGTGATTTATTTCAACATACGTATAGTTTTTTTTCCCACAACATTTGTTAAAATAAGCTAAAAAGGTTATAAACGGACGCATTCATAATATGTTATTCTATCAATTGTACACAAGAAAAAAGATTACGTGAATCATAGCTATATTAAATCTATGTCTAAACTTTAAGCCGAATAATGCATTAGATTAGGGAGACCATGAGAGAAAAACATGGCGAAATATCTTAATTTTCTAATAAGTATGGGCCGTATGGCTATATACGACATAAATATTTTTTAGATACGAACTCATATCAATAGTTGGAACACGGGTTGGGTCGGGTTCTACGGGTTGTGTAATCCGAAATCCAAACCCAACTCAAAAGAGGCGGGTTGTACAAAAGAAAACCCTCACCCAACCCAAAACCTTAGTTTTAACGATAAATACGGGTGAGTTGGGTCGGTTTGCGGGTGTTTGTTCACCCCCTAACCCCTTGTTCTTAGGGAGTAGATCCTAGGTGTATTCGTACTATGGTCTAGTTAATATATAACTTTGTTAAGGTTATGCTTGTGATTTATCATTCTTGCTTATATCAATTGCATGTATATTTGAGGAGACCACACATATGTGATTAGTACCATTGCTCATGCATGTTTGACGAGATCATAAGCATGTGTGTGCGAGGATAATTGATGTTTGTATAAGTGTGTTGTCTCTTAACTTGGTGATATAGTGATTGTCCTAGGCACGTGGTCTCATCAAACCTAGGACCAACATTAATTATCCACACACATACATGCACGTTATCTCATGACACATAGAGGTTGAAAATGAAATAGATTCATGGAATGGTGGATTGATGGATTTGATCAAATGGATTGTTAGATCCAAGTCACATTTAGACATTGGACTATTATGTAGATTTTGAAAATTTTAGGTACTAAAACGTCATTATGAAAATTTTAGGTTCCAAAATGTACTTCTTGAATAATATATTCTTAAAAATTAAAAATTTAGGTATAAAATGTAAAAATGAAATAGAAAATTTAGATACTAAACTATATTTTTTCAAATATCCATAAGTTCAATCATGAATCTGCCAAATCCAGTTAGATTTGGAATGAAATAATTGAATTTTGAATGGATGAATTGGATTGATGGATTGAATTTAAATTATCACCTCAAGTTCAACATGCATGAGTAACAACACTAATAAAATATACTAGTTTTATGCCCGACCGATGGGCGGTATATTTTCCTTGTTTTTTTGTTATTATTTGTCATTTTTCTTCAGTATTATTTAGTTGTCACTTCTCTTTACATTTATTTTTTTCTAAATATCTATTATCGGAGTCTAGCTTGATAGGGGTGGCAAGATTTAGTGTGAGTTTGGCCAAGATTAGCAATGACATAAAAAAAAGTTGTGACTTCGTCATCAGTTTGAATATCATATTCCTGGGCCTCGACCATCTAATATTAGATTGACCAACAGTAGAATTTGTACATGGCCTTTCATTGATTTTTCCTTAGTGTATCTAAGTGTTCAGTCAAAAATATTCTGAGGATCTAACATTTCCTTCAACATGATCGCAACTGTTTCACATAGAGAATTCAATTTATATATAGATCGATTATGTTCGATTTTCAAATTATTTCTCCATTAAAACACTTATACTTGCCTAACATTCAAATTGTGATTCATCTTGCCACTCATAGAACTAAAACAGGAGATACGACTATAGATTCCTATGCACTTCTAAAAATGATTATCAACTATGCTATATGACTCTAATAAAACCGTAAGGAATTGAGTGCACCGTCCATTGACAGAGATTTTGGCATATTTTTTGTTACCACAAAAGGAGACTTTTGGAGTGTGATAATTATTTTTGTATGAGATATACTTTCATTTTTTCAACATAAACGCAAAAGAACACTTATATGTTCTTAAAGAAGGTCCAAGAGTGAAAAGTTTTCAATGTTAGTTAACTAAGCAACACGAAAAAATGTGGTTTAGAAAAAAATGAAACAAAAACAGTTGCAATAATGAGAATCTACATTATAGTCCCAATGAAAAACAATTTCCTTCATTTCTTTTTGTGAGCAATTATGTTATTCTTCATTTGAAGTATTTTACTTTATCATTTTGGCCGGGGAGTGAATAGTTGTAACTTATAATTTGAATTGTAGAGAAAGTGTGCTATGTTAATAATCAAAAAATAAATAGAGGGTAATAAATGTTTTATAAGTTAAAATAACTATTAATAGACAAATTCATAGTAAATCGACTTACTTTGAGTATACATGAGTCATTCTCTTATCCTTGCTATTTTGGGAGTCGATGACTGCCTTCTTCACAATCCTCCCAAAAAATAAGTTTTCATTAAAAAGAGCATACACCAATTAGTCAAGCGCAACACACTAAAAGAGAATAGAAACCTTTATGTTGTAAGGAAAAGGTATGTAAACATAGGGAAATATAGATTATGTTACCTACATCTCAGAAAGATCGTACAATCTATCAATTGTTTTTGCAATTTTAGAACTGCAGGGAACAACATCTTCTAGATCACCTTTCATTTGCTAATTTCCATGGAAGAGCAATAATTCTATCCAATTGAACGAAGAATAATACAATGCTGAGAAGATAGTTATCCATACAAATATAAAAACATAATTGGGATTACAAATAAACACAAACGATAAATATATGAGCAATATGAGTAGTACAATAGCTAGCTCGTGGCTTCACCTAGAAGCTTCAGAATTCCACGTTCGACACTATTGTTTCTTAAAATGAAAAGGAATTGTAACCGGGAAACTAAAGTAGTAGAATGATGTCTCATAATAATCAATCGAGTTTATAAAATTCCATTCACTAATTACCACCAAACAACCCTAACTTAGTGAGTAATTACCCTACAATATATAACACACCATTGTAAATCATGCATCAATTAAAAAGGTAGCAAAAATGCTAAGTTATACTCAATTTATAGGTCAAGTTGTCATGATATTGTAGCCAACACAACCAACATATATAGTTGTAGTCCAATTTGTCAAGTTATAATATATCTTCTTATAGCTTTACTATCCATCACAATAGAGCTAGAGATTGAGGCTTGAGCTTTCTCATCGCATCATGCAACTGAGTTCATTCATCGAGATTCTAATAACATCTTACGACATACTTTGACTTAACTGGTGGTGAACATAGAGAAATTGATGGATTCTGATTGAAGTTTTACAATTTATAATTGACAGAAGATGAGAGATTGGGAAAACACAACTCAATTAGCTGTCCAAATAAATTTAGGGCAATGACTTGAGAAAATATCAAATATGTGCATATGCGGAAACATGACGACCTAGATCTTTCACATGAGTCTCACACCAACAATGAAGTAGAAGCAAAAAAACAGTGACTAACAAAATTGTAATGGATTTACAAATAACTTCGGCTTGATTAAAGTCAAAATACATATACTTGTGGGCTGTGTTTTCTAGGGAAATAAGGTTGTAAGGAAAAATGAAATTTTACGAATGATAGTGGATTGACTGGAGTCCGAATACGAAACATGCAAGCAAATTTCTATTCATTTTTTTTGAAAAACAAAAAGCAATGGTTTTGGCGATAACAACATAAGTGTATGATTCTAAATTTATGCATAGAAACTTTTTCATCAAATGTTAACAAACTATATCTCATTCACTTTAACTTGAATTTCAAATTAATTATGTTTTCCAAAATGACATCCACTTTCATATATTCTAGAACAAAACACGCTAATCTAGATGAAATGTTATACATAGTTTAAAAATATATAATGTTGGCACTAAATATAATGTGCTGGTATATCACATAACAAAAATATAACGAACTATATCTTAGTCGTTAGAACGATCCAAGAGTTTGAGATTTGTTTAAAAAACCTGCATAACTTTAGGGTTATACTTATGAAATTGGTTCAAGATTGTAGATCTTCAGTTCTTCACACATCATTACACCAAAAAAACCAAGAAGTTATTTGAAAAGATAAAAGAAAGGAATCTGAATTGCATTAATGAAAAGTAAAATATTGTTTTAATAAGTGTTCGTGTAGGTATCGTAAATTTGTATGCATATAAAAATGAATTAATTATTATCCAAAAAATCACATACATTTTGATATATTGGAACGGAAGACATATTTGTAAACGTGATATGAAAAATATACCATGTTGTACAAAAAAATGCGC